GAAGAGTACGATTGAGACGGTGTTTACCAGATGTGTGAAGCTTGTAATTTTCCTAGCTCCGTCAAGTCCCTCTGCACGCTTCCTTCCTTCCGTCCGTCGAAACGTACTGTAAGAAGACATACACAAAGTAACACTACTATCACTCTCACTCAGTTAGACAAAAGCAACCTGTTCTGTCATCAACTCACGTGAATGACTCTCTGTTTAATAATTTTCTCTATTAAATAAGTCACAACCAATGAAAAGGGCGAGATCGCTGATGCTAATGTGGCGTTAGCCTACCTCCCGCCCCCTTAGCACCTGGTGGAGGGGGCGATAGGCTACTCTTCAAATGTTTCACAAAAAACGTACTATCATGAGTACTCTTACTGTTTAACATTTTGGTTTACTTCATGTTAAGGCTAATACAAATGACAAGGCTAAGTAATGTAATGTAATGCTAACTAACATGCTCGCTACTAGCTAGGTAGCTAACTTGACTATGTTCCATGCAAAACATGTATATTACCTGATATGTTTGGTCCTGGTCCTTTCACCAGACGGGAAGCGATAGAACGAGCAAGTGGTATGATCACTTTTGTGATTACAACCTGGTACAAAGCACACAGGCATCTTGTAAAAGTTAATTTATTGGAGCAATCTCTTATATTTATTGGAGGGAATAAATCAGTCTTCTTCTTCTTTGCTTTAATTGCGAGATCTTATTCTTTGCTTTAATTGCGAGATTTTCTTCTTTTCTTTGCGAGTTGCAACCAGTATTGGAGCATTATCGCCTATGACATCACTTACGCGACCCAGAATGCATTTGGGATTTGTAGTCTTTCTAGTTGCGTATTTTTCATAGTCTTATATTTCAACAGTTTTATGACAAACTGTGACTTTTTTTACATGGAAAAGATTGTTTAAGATTGACAAACATCATATGTGTCATTCGTGGCACAATTCAAACGGGATCAAAAGATAACTTTTCTCTCTCCATTGACTTCAATGTATAATTTTCCGCTTCCGGGGTCCCATGGAGGCTCCCGGAAGGGGAGGGACTTCGCCTCTCTGTAGTGGGCACTCTGTGAATTTACAGCAGGACCACCAATCAGCTCCTATCTCACAGTGACTCGCAGAGACGAGCTTCTTTAATTTAACCCTTCCAATTCCAACAGAAACTGAATAGGCAGATTTGAAGGATTTTTAAAAAAAAATTTAAATATTATTTTGTAGAATATCTTAGGCCCTCAGAGAAGGCCTAGATGGACCTGACGGCTCGCCACTGGGACATGAGTTTTGGTGTTAATATGCGCTGCTCAATATGGGCCTAATAAGGCAGTAGTACCACAAGAATATAGTAATTCTCCCATAATGACACAAGACATGAAACGTTTTTTTCAAGTTTTAATTGTGTCTAAATAACAAAAAATTAGGTATTCTTGTGGTACTACTGCCTTATTAGGCCCATATTAAGACCAAAACTCATGTACAACAACTTCCTTTCTTGCAATAAATAAGCGCTAATTAGAGGGTTATTGAGGAAAAACTCTCAACTGATGGCCTATTACTTGTAGAATATGGTCATGTAGAATAAGGCATTAATAAGCGTTTTATAATGACTAATAAAGAGCCAATATACTGCTAATATGCATGTTAATTAACAACTAGTTGATGGTGAATTTGTGTACCTTAATATAAAGTGTTACCGATACAATCCCGGCGGCAGACCTAAATCAGTGCAAGGGCTTTTGATTTACGAGGGCAAGCCCAAGGTAAAAATAATAGGTAGCACGGGTATTTCATTCTTGTTGATTAATCATAAGCATATCTCATTTCTATATCTACAGTATATGTCCGAAAACAACATAGTTGCAGTCATACATTGGCATTTAAAATAATAAGCATCCCACCAATGCTGCAGACGTAAGTTAATTAAACAACTTTTTGATTTACCAGCTCCATATATTTGTATGTATCCTTTATCAGCTTACATTATAATGTATTAGGGCCAACAGGTTCTCTTAATATGCATCCATGGCCTGCACATTGACAATAATAATGCTAATTTCGCCAGGTAGCTACTCAAGCTATTTAGTTGAATTTCCTCTGAGCAAATGTTCTCTGGTAGGCAATGATGCAGTCTATATGTCCAGGGCTTTTATTGTGAAAGGGATATCATAACCCACAAGCAGACACAATTGCATAGTAAGTCAAAGCAAAATTGCCACTTTAAGCTATGAGTGCAGATAAAAGCAATGCTGTCACTCTTAAAACTATAGAGCATTAAGAAGCAAGCAAGCCAGTTGGCTCGAGCTTAAAAAAGCCTAATGTGGCCATTTATTTTCCGATTTATCTCACAGCAAAATTCAAAAAATCTTGCAGGAAAGTTGCCAAGTTGCCAAAAGTGTGTACCTACAAGGTATGCAAATGTGCCAGTGTTAGCCAGCTAGTTCATTTGCAACTGCAGTTCCTTAACGGGACTTTTTTTAAACCAATGGTGAAATGTGCAGAGCAAATAAAAAATATGTACTGATCAATTTACAGATTTACTGTCGATTAGGTAATAATCCATCACAGTTTGCAGACACACTTCCTGCTGCAACATACCATCCAACAGTTCCCTCAAGGACCAGGAACCATGAGCTACATTGAGGATTCATCTAAATGCACTCCACGTGTACATTCCTGACCCTCACTTGACTTTTCCTCACTTTAAATGCCTTGGGAGTTTTTCTAATGCATGTTGAACGCGCTTGACTCGTCTAATGTGCGTGAGTGCCTTATGCAGTAAACTGGCTGACAGCACACCATCGCCCTAACCTCCATGTTCTTGCCATTTTCTCTCTGTCTTTTCCTTTCTGTTTCCCTCTGTCTCCATCCCTCTCTATGCCCCCCCCCCCCTCTCCCTCTCTTTTTTCTTATCTGTGTCTGTTCTCAGGAGGCCGTTGTAACAGGTCTGCTCGCAGAGACAACCTACTCTGTGACCGTGGCTGCTTACACCACCAAGGGTGATGGAGCGCGCAGCAAGGCCAAGGTGGTCACTACCACGGGAGCAGGTGGGTGCTGGGTGCTGCTGGGTGCTGCTTTGATTTGATTTGATTTGATTGGATTTGAACGTGTGAAACAATAATACAAAAAACTAATAATAATATTAATAATTAAATGAATCAAGATAATTATGATACTGTACAAACTTAAGCAGTATCAAATTAATAAAAAGACAAATTATATATAAACAAATGATCAACACATCCTAAAAGGGGTGGGAAGAAGTTTACACTTATTTAATCCCACCCCTTCTCCCAAAAACGAAATTATAAAAAAAAAAAGTCTAAATGTATGACTACATACAATATACATTTACAATTATAAATAGATTATATCGTTATTAATACAATATATATTATTATTTTATATTGTATGTCCTATTTGATAAGACAAATATAAAAGACTGTATTTTTACATCCACCATCCAAAATACATTTGTTTCCAGTTGAAATGTTGTTTAGCAACACATTAATCACAACTGAGGGAACTTAAAATGTGTGTTTTGGTTTAAACCCTCCCTGGAACCGAAATGAGTAAAAATGGAGGATTCTCATAGTGTCTGTTTCTAACTTATCTCCTGAAATGATTATCAGAATGTTGTTCAGACAATTATTGCATTCAAAGAAAAAAACATTTCCTCAATACCTTTTGGTAAGGTATACATCTACACACAGGAATTTTAGGCGGAATAACAATAAATAAAAAATCCAACATCAATGTTTATACATTTCTGTTATTATGAATATAAAGAAAAAAGTCAGCAAAAATGTAAGTCATATGTAGCCTACCAAAGATTGTTATCTTTTCATAAAGGAAGATATGACTATTGACTTCACCCTCTGATGTCACCAGCCTCTAACATTAAGCTTGTACAGCCAAACAAATGCCTTCAATTGGGTGTTTAAAGTTGAGACATCCAGACCATTATTTCTAGAGATGATTGCAAGACAGAAACCAATGGTTGTTCATAGTTCGACCTTGGGTAAAAACAAAAGCCATTTTAATGGATTGGTTTCTCCACTACTGTATGTCATTTTTAAGAGAAGGAATATCATAGTCTGCCTATTTAACATTCACAACCATGATGAACTTCTTGGTTTCTTACAAATTAGTCTGTAAGTGACATTACCAGCGATCCAAAAAGCCGTTTTTGATCTCACCGATAAATCAACATGACAGTAGTGTCAGCTATTTCAAAATCATTACAAAAAACTGTTACCAAAATAATTGTGTGACCGTTTCATGATGTGCCAAAACAATAGTTATGGTGGGGTCGGGGTAAGGGCTAAGGCAAAGAATATTGGGTAAAAAAACAAAAAAAGATATATGTAAGGGAACCGTTTCATCATGCTCTAAAGTTTAGGGGTTATGGTTTAAGAACAGATGTGTTACTTACCACCAAATTACGTGTGGGAGTTCAACTTTCTGCATCATTTAACTGAGTAAAGTTTAGAGAGTAATCAAGATATGTTAATGTCTTCCAGTGCCTGGCAAGCCCACTATGATGATCAGCACCACCATAGGGAACACTGCCCTTATCCAGTGGCAGCCTCCAAAGGAGATGGTGGGGGAGCATGTGGGGTACCAGCTTCAATACAAGAGAGCAGAGGAGGAGGCTTTCACCATCAAAGACTTCAAAAAAGCAGATGATCACTTCACAGTCACCGGCCTCCACAAGGGAGCCACCTACATCTTCAAACTGTGCGCCAAAAACCGGGCAGGCAACGGGGAGGAGTATGTGAAGGAGATCAGCACCCCCGAGGACATTCCCAGTAGCTACCCCCAGAATCTGAGTGTGGTGGGCCTGACCGCCACCTCCACCAAGCTGTCCTGGGAGCCCCCTCCTCTGGCCGAGAGAAACGGGAAGATTGTCAGATATGTGGTGGTTTACCGAGATATCAATGTCCTCAATAACAACACCAACAGTACCACGGCAACAGAGATGACCGTCCAAGGGTTGCAGCCAGACACCACCTACGATATCAGAGTCCAAGCTTTCAACAGCAAGGGGGGGGGACCCATCAGCCCCAGCATTCAGAGTCGAACCATGTCCTTGTCCATGCCAGGTGAGAACCACAGGCTACCTACTGTATATGGGCTGCATTGTGCTTTCAGACAGGGTACTGTTGTAACATGTGACCAAAGAAAATGAGTTCTCGATTTTCCTGAAAAAGGGCGCAAAGAAAATAATATTTAGGTAGAGACGCACATTTTAACAGTCGGGTGACCTCAAGTGCAGCTCATTGCAACTTGAAAGAGAGACTGAATTAGAGATAAAGAAATACAGAATCAGAGGGTGGAGTCAGGGGTCCCCAGTTAACAACCAATGAAATGAGCTCCTCTCATCCTCTTTAAAAGCAGCAACAAGTGAAACAGGGTAGAGGCATATAATTTCCTAAAGATGAAACAAGATCCTATATATTATGAAATAACATAGTAGCAATTATGTTGTTGATGGTAGAAGAAACAGGCAGCTATTGGTGCCGTCAGCCAGGATTCAATTCAGGTGTCTTCTCAGAAGATTTTAATTATAAAAAAGATAGTCACACTATGTGTAAAGTGTTCAGCTTTTTGCAGAAATGTAAGCGTGATCCTTTGCAGTGGGTTCTGAGCAGAAGGAAGCACAAGTGAATATGTGTTTTTCATTATAATTTTACAGAAAACATAGTGACTGCAAAGGAAACTCTATATATTGAAATATTTAAAATGTCCTGGCGAATTTTTATAGGGTTCAACACAAATCATGAAGCGTTGATTACTTCAAATGATTTTGGGTAATGGAAGCATATCATTTTCATTTCTGAGAAAAATGTCAACCACAATGTTCTTGTTGTACATAGATCATTTGTATATATGTTTTTCTTTTTTATATGTTTGATGATAGTATTCCAAGCTTGGTTAGCTGAGAACTGCAGGGGTAGTTTCCAAATAATCTACGGTTGACTTTATTTTTCTGAACATTAGTGCACAGTGTACCCATTTGCTCATTTGATCTAAAATTACTTTGTTTTCTTGCTTTTGTGAAGCAGATATTCAGCTTTGAACAATCTCAGTCATTATCTGCAACTCAATTAATCAGCTAATAATCATCTAGACCTTCCCTCAGTGTTCACGAAGAACTTTGGCGTGAAGGCTGTGACGAAGACCTCTGTCCTTCTGACCTGGGAAGTGCCAGAAACCTTCAAATCTCAAGTGCCTCTTAAGGTAAGATCAGCTCCTGCTTTCACCGGTACAGCCACATAATTAACTAAAACAATTGTTGTTTTTTACAGATACTCTTGAACCGCTGCATATGGGCAATTAGAGAAAAGGTCCGAAACGTGGGACTAATTTTATACTTTTACATGTTTTTAAGCTACTTTGGGACACAATCATAGAAACATGGATCATCAAAAAGGCACCTGAAATATTTGAAGATACATGACGCATTTTTTTTTTTAAACATAGTTTCATGCTAGAAAAGAAAACACATATTGTAGTGAAGGAGCTGTATATGCAGACATGTACTGTATATACAGTTTGAAAATATATTTTGAACATGAATACGGGACATTTGACATACTGTCTGTAGTAGTCCTCAAGAGAACAGCTGCTTGATAAATCATAAAGAAAATCAATTTGCACCATATGAAGTTCTGCCTGTAGCTGAAAGTTATGACTGAGTATTTGTTAAGGGGCCTGTCTGTGCTGTCACTCAGATTTGGCATTGTGCAGCTCTGATAAGTGCAAAAACAAAGGTTTATGACCATGGATCAGCAAATAAATAAGTGTAAACACATCAATCATACTTTATTTACACAGCACCTTGTCACATAAAACCATGAGTCACAGGGTGCTTCGCAAAATCGAAAGCAGAGAACAACAGTAGGCAGCAAAGTTAGAAGTTTCACAGCTCTGATCAACAGATTGAAGATTGATTAAACTAATGTACACATTTTCTCAACTAACTATGTTATCATATACAAATAAATACTATGAAAAAGACAAAAAAGTTGAAAGATGTTCAACTACTCCTAAAATATGTTAATGTTAGATAGAACGTAAAAGGAATACATATTTCAAGAGAAGGAGAAAATAAATAAAATATCACTATATTACAGCTTTCTATTGCACAAATACAGTATTTAAATCGGCCCTATTATGCTAATTTTCGTTTCATATAAGTATGTTCTGCCTGTGACGTGTTTTCATGTTTTAAGGTTAAAAAAGTGCTTTATTAGTCTGCTCTGATTGGTTAACATGGTACAATGTGTTGGAACACTAGTCAATAGAAGCGTGAGTGTTTCAAAAAATTATGTCATTATGTTACGGAGGTAGACAAATTTGTCTTATTTAGGCATTTCAGGCAGATTTAGGTGTAATAGAATCTTCCTTTTGAGTGAACTTTGCTATTTTTGCCTTTGCAGACCATTTACATACACAAAAACCTATATAACACATATTACAAGAAAAATAAAACGCATATTAGGCGCAGTTTCACAGATAACCAGTGTTGCAAACATCATCAATTATATTAAATCCTTTAAACAGTGTCAGTTAAATATTCCTTCTTCCTGGCTTTAGATCCTGTACAACCAGCAGAGTGTGGAGGTCCAGGGCGACCTGAAGAGGAAGCTGATCACTCAGCTGCAGCCAGACACAGATTACTCCTTCGTGCTCATGAGCCGGGGGAACAGTGCTGGGGGGCTCCAGCAGCAGGTGTCCATCAGAACCGCCCCAGACCTGCCGCAGATCAAACCAGCACTATACCAAGAGGATGTGGAGGAGGGGGGGAGAGTGACCATCAGCCTGTCCACTGGGCCTGCTGAAGTCTCTGTCAGGTCAGTGCTGGTTGTGTTGTTATGAGAGGAATGATTCATGACAGATGGCTCTAAGTCTTCTGCACCTCATCACTCAGGACCGGCCTTCTGCCTACTGTGGTCTTATGTTTGTCTTATGATGTTTCTGTTTGTATTGTTTTTTGTTTTGTAAGGGATCTATATGCATGTGTATTTCGCCTGGTGTGTATATACATATACTTGTTCATGTATATTATGCCATGCTGTTCTGTGTTTCTGCCTTAAAGGTCACCTATTATGCAAAATCCACTTTTTCATTTATCTTCTACATAAACATGTGTCCCCTCTGTGGGACAAGATTCTGAACGTTTCAGGAAAAACGATTGGCTCACTTTTTCTCCTGATCCATTTATATAAAAACCTGTCTGAAAATGAGCTGATCAGATTTTGGCCACTTTGTGATGTCATAACGATTTTTTGGCTTGTGTAACCATTAGCCAATCACCAACCAAGGTAACCCCCTCAACCCCACACACACACACCTTAACACCTGAATCTCCTCCGAGAGCACCATTGTGTTATTTTTAACCAAATATCTCTCAGAGGGGCGTGGGGAGTGGCTCCTTATTTTCATCTAAAGTAACAGACAGAGAATCAGCACTTTTGAAACAGGGTTGAAACAGAGGGGATTATGGGATGCTGTAATGATCTGTTTGGTGTTCGGAGCCAAACACTTGAGAGACATGATTTGTATATATCTGAGACCTAAAATATATTGATGAAAAAAAGTATATATGGGGAATCTTTAAATTAGTAAATAAAATAAATGTGATCCCAAAAATCTTTTGAAAAACTGAAAACTGTTACAAATAAATGTACATGTAATGTAATGTAAAAATAAACTAGTCGCAACATTATAATTTACTTTCTTTGAATTTGCCTCAATAATACTACCCAATAATTAAACATATTATAACATTTTAACTCTCTGTCAGAGGCCATTATTTAAATTAGTATGAGAACTATGGAGTTATACTTTGGAGTACTTTCACGTTGTTGGGTATTGTTAAAGCTAAGAATCTGAGAGAAGTGACCTGAGATAGTGTTATATGTTAGTCTGTGCATCATCGATCAGTGTATGAGCTGTTTGAAGACCTTAGAAATCCTCAGTATACAGCAGCCCAGGGAGGCTTACGCTCATTGAAAAACAGTCAGACTCAAACAAACAATATAGCTCAGACACAAGCTTGTCTGCAGCCATTACAATCCTGGTTTTTCTACTTCTTTTCCTGTTCTAGCCAGTTCACACCAGCCAATTATCCACTGCAGCAGAAGGTTCTTTTAGGTCAAAGTAGTTCCGAAAGTTTACAAAACATTCATTCCCACAACACTACAACACCATGATTATATCCTAAAAACCGCACGGCCACGCTTATAATACCCCCAGTGCTGCCTCTGAGCTGTGTCCTGACACTAGAAAGCAATTTATTTAAGAGGTGAGCTTTAAAACCACAAGTATTCAGAATGGAGAATCACAATGCAAAGGCAGCAATTTATTATTCCTCAGCTCGATCAAGATACCAGGCACTGCAAATTATCTAGACTTAATTGTGTTTCAAGTGTTTGCTTCTCTGAAGAAATTGCCCAGCAGTAATCTGTAGAAAGACAAGTGGGGCTGATGTTAAACAAAAACGAATACCATATCTGTATGAATGCACAACCCAGACCGTTTCACTTATAGAAAAAACCTAGAAGGAAAAAGCTATATAACAAGTCTAGAACTGAAAGTCCTTAAGGAAACTGAAAAAGCGTTAGAAATAAATAACATTAAAGCTGTGTTTAAAGACTATGTATACAATGAAATGTATATATATATACTGTATATATTAATGGTGTTGTGTCTTTGTTTGATTCAGGTGGTACTACATAGTTGTTGTCCCTGTCAATCCGGCTTCTCATAGGAGGTGGGAAAACCCTGAAGACATGGACATACAGGAGGTGAGTGGATGTGTGTTCACTGTTGAAAGGTGATTAGGTCTGTTTGCAGTCTTATTTAAGCAAATAATCTATTTCGGGAGGCAAGCTCATAAAAGCAGCTACCAGAAAGGCAAATCATTCCAATTTCAGGTTGAGGTTTCTGGTTAAGGTCAGGTTTGGGTTTAAAGTTAGGCTAGGAGAGGTTATGGTTAAAGGTTCAGTTTTTTTTATTCTAACAGTTACCAGCCCTTATTGTTTTTACCTTGTGAGTTTTTGTTTTTGGTCATAATGGCAAAATGAGATTTTGCTATATGAAGCTGGAGAATAGACACTTAACATAAAGCATTTACATGATACATTATTAATACATCTATAAATGTAGAGATTATGTGGGACTATCCACCTGTCCTTCCGCCCTTTCGTTCGTCCATCTGTCCAGAGAGCATCTTAAATCAGTGTATGATTCTTAGTTTTCATTCAATTGTAGGTCTGCTGCATAACAATTTTTGTTTTGTTTTTCTTCCTCTTTTATAAATTTAATATTTTTGTATTGAGGTTGATGAATTGATTGCTTGCGTTGATTAAAAAAATTACTGCTTTAGATGTCAAGACAGAACACATACATGGCATTCTCATTCATTCTGAAGGACTGTGAAGGAATACTTCCCATAAAATGAACATTTGTGTACGTCTCGGTCACGCACTGTTGTATCGTCCCTGTGGCAGCTCCTGGAGCCCGGTGCTGACAGCAGCCTGCAGAGGAAGAAGAGACAGAGCCAGAAACTGCTTCAGCCATACATTGCTGCCAAGCTGGACACGCTGCCTGAGCTCTTCACACTGGGCGATGAGAAGAAATACAACGGCTACTACAACAAACCCCTCCCGGGCCAGCAGCAGTATCGATGCTTCGTTCTGGCTGACCTGACGGACAATGAGTCTGTGAGTGATCTATTTTTATTTATGACTTGAGCATGTAGCATGTCAATATATTTTAAAGGTCCAGTGGTTGAAGTCAGGGTGCTGGGCCGTAACACCTTCAAACCTACCCCACTAATGGTAAACAGAGTAGACCAATGAAGCAAAAAGCGTTTTCAAATTTAAATTTTTGTTCCATTTGTTCAATTTCTAAATTTGGAATATTTCATCCAGTTCTATTAAATGACTATCTGTTCTATAAAGTGATTTCTATTTTAATGACTCTATATTTGTTCATTACATTGTGTAGTCTGCATTTCAAACCTGCAAAGGCATGCTTCAATATACTCAAAATCCTTTGTGCTTTTACTCTTTTCATACTCTTTTAATGGGCAGGTGAACAATATTTTTTTCTGTTATTCATTTCAATATGTTTCTTCAAAATCATTATGTGAGCCGATTAGACTTTGCCCTTTTAACTGAAGGGAAAGTCTACACCAAAATGTATTGCCTGACTACCGATGCAGCTTCAAAGCATCTCAGACATACTGTAACGCACTCAACAGCATTATTGACTGGTCACAGTGTAGTGCTCCCACTCAATGTAAACACAGACCACAATCAGTTTAGGCCATTAAAAGTTCAAATACATTTCTTAAATATTCATGCCAGAAACGAAATAGGGAACATAATGGTGCAATTTCACTTTAAATAAAAAGCAAAAATAAGGAACGATTAAAGATGCCCTATTATGCCTCTTTTCAGGTTCATATTTGTATGTAGTGACATGTTTCCATGCTTTAATGTTCAAAAAGCTCTTTCTTGTTCTCATACTGCCTGTGCTGCAGCACCTCTTTTCAGCCTCTGTCTGAAACCAGAGCCCAGTCTGCTTTGATTGGTTAGCTGGCTGGCTCTGTTGTGATTGGTCAACCGCACGAGATGTGTTGGAAATGTCCCGTCCCTTCACCTATCACGTGATATGTGTTGAAGCGCGAGCCAATAGAAACTTGAGTATAACATGGTAATAGGAGTCAAATCTAAACGTTCATTCGGGGGACATAATATGGCCCCTTTAAAACAAGATGGCCGGGCAGCGGTCTGTTCGTGAGGTTCAATTTTATTTCTGATTTGTATCATATTACAGTCAGACACTACATGTAAGGTTCCAGGCAGACAGATGAGCAACATTATGCCAGAGATCAATGTGATTATCTGACAGCCAAATCATTGATTGGTTTGAAGAAATAATCTGCTTTCATGACAAACAAACAGTTATCTCCTGGGAATTCTGATTCTAAAATGAGTTAGGGAAGTCTGGGCCTCAGCCCTTCATTACAATAACCTGTTTATCCCCATGTTGATAAGATACAGCTACAGGGACACTTTTTTAGTATAATGCAATCGCCTTGAAATGAATTCAACCTTGTGAAACCTGCAACTATGTTTTTCAGCACTGTGGTAAGGCACAGTCTGTATTATTGTTGTACAGGATTGCATTATATATGAAGTTGTTGTTATTTTCTCCACAATATAATGTTTTTGCGCCCTTGATCAGTGGCCTGTTGGCAGATCCCAAGCTCTGGTAACAATACAAATGATTTTCCGACCAGTCTAGCACCAAATACCCCCCTTCTACATTGTAATAGCAGTGACCCCATCAATCCCAATGTGAGAGAAGCAAATAGAGTATGAAAGTGGATTTAGCTGTAAGAGACAGTCCGCCCTGTCTGCAGCAGTGTGGTGTCAGGAAAAGTTCACCAAGACCGAGGCTGTGCTTGACACCTCGCGCCCTTTAATGAATCGTAAACTCATACCAGAGGATGAGGGCATGGCTGAGGCAACGCGGAAGGGTTTTTAATATGCGGATCTATTGCTGATTATTCGTGGCCTTTTAATATCCACAGATGAATAGTCCTTGTAAAACTTCATTCCTACCCTGCGGGTCACATTCTAGTGCTTATGACTGCAGTGTGAGTCCCATACATTTCCCTAAGGCCTTGCATTGCTGAATAAACTGTGACATGACGGCCATGCTTTTTTCCCCTTCCTGGCGTTTCCTATCTGTTGAACAAAGAGCAGCCCCTGGGGGGGGGCGGGGGGGGCACATGTGCCAGGCATGACGCAGTGCAAATCACGTCCTTGAGTCATGCAGGTATAGCTCTCAGGCACTGAAGACGTGATCCCTGCTGTCATTCACAAAGCACAGCATTCTCTTTCTAACTTCAATTGCTTTTGCTCTTCATACTAGTCATTAACCCTGTTCTTTATTTAATGCTTAAGGATATCCAAGTGAGATTCCATTTGGCTCTCGAGGGTCTTCATCATCTATTAACCCCAACCTCCTACACAAGCTGATCCATGGATAGAGTTACATTATCTGTCATTCACATTATGCTTTTATCCAAAGCAACACTACAATACTGTAGAGATCTTGCCAAAGGACACTTGTGGCGTATTTCCACTGCAGTGCCTCGCTCGGCTTACTACGGTATGGCTAGGCCTCGTTAGGCCTTGTTAGGCCAGGCTCACTTTATGCTGCGTTTCCATTACAGTTTAGGAACTGGGGTGGTAACTATTGTAACGCAGTTTAGGCGGAGCCGTGACGTCATCTTCAATGCGAAACACAAAACCAACATCAGCTGTTAGCTGTTAGCACTCAGAGCTCACAGCTCCTCATATCTGTTCAGAAACTAGACAAAAGTTAAACAACTGCAAACCACAGACTGTCTGTGTCATGGCGAAAACAGTCCCTGGTTTATTTATGTCTGTATAGGCCGTTGTTGTGAGTGTGGATGGTCGGAGCACCCCAGTTGATAATTCTCGATCGTTGGCACGCTGATAACAATTTCTTTTTTAAATGGCACTTCATATCAAAAAGGTTGCCGACCTCTGAACTATAGTAACGCAGTGTAGGCGGAGCCGTGACGTTATCTTCGATGAAACACAAAACCAACATCAGCCGTTAGCTGTTAGCCCTCAGAGCTCACAGCTCCTCATACTGTATATTGCAAATTTCCCCTCTGTGGGACTAATAAAGGTATTCTGATCTGTTCAGAAACTAGACAAAAGTTAAACAAGTACAAACCACAGACTGTCTGTGTCTGTATAGGCCGTTGTTGTGAGTGTGGAGGGTTGGAGTATATACAACGTTAGCTTAGCCGATCTCCATTCAGAAAACACGAATTTTAAAAGGTTTTTCGCCTGCTGTCTTGTCTGCAGACTTGTCAAAGCATTCATTCATGTTTTTTACTAACCGGTATCAGTATGTTGTTACTTCGGCATCATTTTGAAACGTGTATTGCAATTAAATCACGGTAAAATATGTTCATTTTGTTGTAGTTGCCAGCAATTCTCTCACTAGTTTAGCATACTCAGCCCGGTTGTTGGCCCGGAAAGAACCTCGATTATGGAGAGCCAGAAAACTGTGAAAAGGTACCCGCTAGCCGGAACTACGCCTAGTGGAAACGCAACCAAAAACGGGCACGGCACGCTTAAACCGCGCTGTAGTAGAAATGCGCCATAAGTGGTTGACTAATCACAACAGAGTTAACCAATCAGAGCAGACTGGGTTCTATAGGGCCCCTTTAAATCAGAATCTTTAGCATAATACAGAGCTTTTTCAAGTCACTCATTAGGATATTCACATAAGGATAATGGAAATTTAGCACAATAAATAGTGAATGGTAACTTTCTTGCAACAAGCAGGAGCTAATGTTCCATTAACTTGCATAGAGCAACTGTTCCCACTGGCAAACACTCAGCCCTTACACATAATTGCACTGACAGACAACAGAAACCAGCAGACTCTACTGACTGGAGTTTTAATGGATTTGACATCACTTTTATTTGCGTCTGTGAATGCCTATATGGCAGGCAGAGCATTAGGTTTAGGGGTCTGTGCGCACACCCTGGAGAGGAGCGTAGTCAGCATCTACTGAGCAGGAAACAATGACATCAGAGTGGGAGAGGAGGAGAGTTGGGGGAGGGAAGTGTGCGAGGGAGAGAGAGAGTAAGAAATGCATTGCATGTATTCCAGCAGGCTCACTAGGTACGAATGGAAACAGATTTTAAAAGTCCATCCTGCTCTTTTCTCCTCACTCTCACTGAGCATGTGGACATCTAAACACCCCAGCAGGACATCTGACACATAACTGATGTCTGTGTATCACATTAGTTTCCTATTATGGGCTCCTGAGTCACATAATTGTGTCTTGTATTAGTCCTTTAATCTCATCTGAAACCACATCAAAGAACGCCAACACAAGCACAGACCATAAACTATGAACAGATATGAAAAATCGCTTATGGAAGTGTGGTTTCGACACAGATAAGTGATACAAAAAAATGGTTGGCTGAAATATTTTTCCATCCTGTGTGCTGTGATTCAGCAAGTCCACCACAGCCCAGTCATCTGGCAGCATGGGACCGGAGCCACGGCTCTGATTAGGTACAGATGTAGAAGCACTGAGATGCCTTTGGAGGCATCCCAAATTCATTGACCCATGACCAAAATGCCCCTCTCTATGATTGGTTGCTAATATCTCAACATTTCACTGCAGTGGCCCTGTATTGTGGCAAAACAATGGAGGAAAAATGTATTAGAATATCTGCTAAATCATGCTTCAATTACGTGTTATTGAGTGATTTGTTTCCCTGATGAAAGACGAAGAGCAGGCAGAAGGACCTTGGACTGTGTGTGATACTTTACACATCTAGCCAGCACTGGTTCTCCGCCCCTAATGATGAAGCAGCAGAGAATCTTATGAGATTCACTTGAAACTAAACAACCAAATAAGGATTAAGATCAAATTTCACAGCGCTTGACTCACACTGCCTTGAAAGCTGAAGTACAGGAAAAGAGTTGGAAGTGTCCTAAGGATCGTAAATAAAACTTTAATGCCTGCCACTGAACAGGATTAGTTTTTTTGTGTGTAGATGAGGCCATTTTATAGTGCAATGATACATAAAAGCACCCTGTTAAAACGTAGCACCTGTGGACTTGCATGTTCTCTTAGAGATTTGGTCCTTTTAGTTGCAAATGTATAAAAGGGTGCTCTCTAGTGGTTGAATTCCAGAAAAGCTAGAGACCCACTATAAACCATTGTTGTGACTCAATTCAAACTATAATTTTACAGAATGATTTCTGAGTGAGCTGTTTACAGTCGTTGCACTATTGCACCAAGAATAGCTCAAAAAAGATGTTGATGGTGTTGAAACAAAAGTTAATTGATTTTTGAAGAAGATTAATCTGAAACAATGTGCACTTGTTTAGTTGTTTAATCGAGCAGACATTAAAAACATTTTCTTCTCAAATGTTAAAGGGGCTCTTTTAAGCTAATTTTCAGTTAATATTTGTATGTTGTGGTTCTACTGAGACATGTTTACATGCTTTAATGTTCAAAAAAGTCTTTATTTTCCTCATACTGCCTGTTCTGCAGCACATATTTTCACCCTCTGTCTGAAACCAGAGCTCAGTCTGCTTTGATTGGTTAGCTGGCCGGATCTGTTATCCCGCACCTTAGCTTATCACTTACAACATGCTGGAGCACTGGCCAATAGAAGTGCGAGCGTTACATATTGATGTCATTATGTTATGGAGGTATACAAACCAGTTCAATGGAGGCGTTTCAGGGATTTTAGTCTTTGCGGGCCATTTTATATGCACAAAAACCAATATAACATAATACAGGACAGGGAAGACCCCGAAAACAATAATAGGGCCTCTTTAGGATTTGCTTCTTTTCTTTTTGTCTTCTACGTGACTGAGCTCTCAGGAAATTGTATGCCTTTTTTACACTTGAATCAAAACAATTAAACACAATGAATCATTTAATGGAAGAGTAATCATCAGAGATTGATAGTTTAAATAACTTTAAGTTGCAGCCATAGAAATGACAGTGGTGGTGAGAAAGCTTCAGATCTTGGAAAACGAAATGTATTAAATCTTCTCTTTGAGAAATGTAATTGGCTATGAAACCATGCTGTCACAACATGGCAACGTACATTGATCTGTAAGGGAAAAAACGATGTATTTATCTATAAAAATGTGTATGTAATGTGGAGTTGATGGACAGTACATGTATAATTATTCATTAAATTCAATAAGAAGTCACAGAGAAAATATTTTAGTTTTTTAACAGCATTTATTTAGCTTTCTCCATACGATACATTTAATGTACAACAGCACATACTGTATTCTGAAATAACTCTCAGTATAAAATAGGGCTTCTACAATCAAGGTACAGTCATAAAATGCTCTGAGGGACATGACGACGACGGCAACAGTAAAACACCTTCATATAAAGCGCAGGATATTTAGAGAAGTGATTGTATTTGCCGAGCGGCTGAACTTCACACCACACCTCTCAGAGCATCCGACATCCTGCAAGAACCCGTTTTCTTTTTTCTCTTGGTTCTGGTTTCACAACTGAGGAGATTTGAAACGATAATCAACGCATAAGAATATGATCTATTAGAACCGCTAAAAATATAAGTCTTGGTAATATGAGCTGATAAATCAGGCCTTGTTTGGATACTGAATATATACCAAGGTCAAAGCATACACTGTATTATGACTCCTAATCAAACGTATATCTTTACAATCATATATTTATTTGTTTGTGACTGTAGCTGTACCCACTGGATTGTTTCTGAGTGTTTTCCGGACATCAAGCACTGTAACATGTATACTGTACTATCACTGAAGCCACAAGAAACCCAGCTTTATTTCAAACATCAGCCAATTATAGATCATTTAAAAAAGGATTTTATCATCTGCAGATGAGCACGTGTGAGCCTATATAGTGTCTATAAATGTGTCTTTAAATAGATTACACATAACATTGACCAGCTTTTGTGTTAGTTTGCTATACCATAGTGCTTCAGGTGTAGATTATACAATATATAACATGTCCAAATGGTATGAGAGAAGGCCTAGGTACAAGGAAACGTAAAAAAAAGAAAGAGTCTGACTGAGAGGCCAAACAAACGTCAGGAGAGAGAAAAGAGAGATTTGTCTCAAGTCTTGAGGTAAGCAATGTGTTTCAGTATAATGCCCTACAGACCATCATACAGTTACAATCATTAATTCTCTATATACAAACTTCCTGATTTACATACACTGTACTGCGCCTCAGTTTAAAAATGTCATAAAACTAAATGTGAAATCAAATATATGGTGCAATTTCTTTTTAGAGGGAGGACTCCACGAAGTTTAATGAGGTGGGCGATAATGGACATTATGGCTATTGATGATGGCCTGTTTCCTCTTGCATACGTCACACACACTATCAAATATCTACAACAGTGCAAATTTTCCTGTTCGATCAAAACACTTGCAAACAATTGGCTAAACTACATCAGCTCATTTTTTGAAGATATTTCGTGGAGAACGGAGATGGCAAACTATCCGAGTGGACCATAGTGTATTCTTTATGTATATATCCTTTGGGCCTGCATGTTTTAGGGGGTCACATCGACTCTGTTTACTGCGTTACATGAATGGAGGAAGTCTAATGTGGCACGGTGGCTCAAATGAAAGATAACAAAACAAAAAGGAAGCGCTCTACCCCTCGTGGCTCCACTGGACGTAGGCACCGTTTTTACTGTTACCTTCTCAGAAGACAAGGTTGAGCTCAATAACGCATCAAGCCTATCCCACATCTCTCTGAAACATACGCTGCGCCACCTAAATGTGTGTCTACTGAAGGAAGCCTGATTTGAGATATTAAATCAATGTAATGAGAGAACTAAGTCAATATAATGACATAACTAAGTCAATATAATGACATAACTAAGTCAATATAATACATCTCTGGTTGGAAACATAAGTATCATTATAATGATATAACTGACTCTCCTTAAGTTTCCCGTCAGAGAACTTGGACATTTAGACAAGATATTATTGAAAACATAAGGCAAAACTCAAATAATAATGGTGAGCCCTACACAAGTGTGCCCTTTATATTAAAGCCAGGTTTTTTTTAGATAAATGATGTTTTTCGCCTTCATAGAAGACATTTACGTTTTTGACACCATCAGTTAGCATGGTTTGTCTGTGAAAGTGTATCCCATCTCACCCAGATACAACTCATACTTACCTGGCAGGGGGGTCTCCATGATCACTAAGGTGGATCCCCTACGGCGAGGCGCGGCCATTGCACTGACGGTTGCGCTGACCTGTACGAATTCCTCAAATGTAGGAATCTCGACTGCATAATTTGTGATAGTGGGGGACTGCGTTCGCGCTCTCCCCTGATAAAACGTAAAAATTAACGATTGAAGAACTAGCACACTGAAGGCTTGCACTGAAGGAGCCCAAGTGATTTTTGTTCAATGACTTATGCTGATGACTTGTTATGGCAGCAGGAATGTATTCGACCTAACTTGTGTGCAACTATGTAATAACAAGCAGAGGAAGTAGCGATGGCGAGATGAAGCCTATGAAGCTTTTCCGCACAAAAACTCCCTGTTGGTCAAAATGTATAAAACAGGGAGATTGGACATCTCAACAGTGCTCTATCTCATACCGAGTTCCCAATGAGTACAGCCTTAGAATAACTCTAAACAACGAACATTAAANNGCTTCAGGTGTAGATTATACAATATATAACATGTCCAAATGGTATTAGAGAAGGCCTAGGTACAAGGAAACGTAAACAAAAGAAAGAGTGACTGAGAGGCCAAACAAACGTCAGGAGAGAGAGATTTGTCTCAAGTCTTGAAGTAAGCAATGTGTTTCAGTATAATGCCCTACAGACCATCATACAGTTACAATCATTAATTGTCGATATACAAACTTCCTGATTTACATACACTGTACTGCGCCTCAGTTTAAAAATGTCATTAAACTAAATGTGAAATCAAATATATGGTGCAATTTCTTTTTAGAGGGAGGACTCCAAGAAGTTTAATGAGGTGGGCGATAATGGACATTATGACCATTGATGATGGCCTGTTTCCTCTTGCATACGTCACACACACTATCAAATATCTACAACAGTGCAAATTTTCCTGTTCGATCAAAACACTTGTGAACAATTGGCTAAACTACATCAGCTCATTTTTTGAAGATATTTCGTGGAGAACGGAGATGGCAAACAATCCGAGTGGACCATAGTGTATCTTTATGTATATATCCTTTAGGCCTGCATGTTTTAGGGGGTCACATCGACTCTGTTTACTGCGTTACATGAATGGAGGAAGTCTAATGTGGCACGGTGGCTCAAATGAAAGAAAACAAAACAAAAAGGAAGCAAGGACAAACCAGCGCTCTACCCCTCGTGGCTCCACTGGACGTAGGCACCGTTTTTTCTGTTACCTTCTTAGAAGACAAGGGTGAGCTCAATAACACGTCAAGCCTATCCCACATCTCTCCGAAACATACGCTGCGCCACCTAAATGTGTGTCTACTGAAGGAGGCCTGATGCAAATACGAAATAAATGTGCTATAGTAGTAACAGTTTGCGCACCCATTGACACTACGGACTGTAACTGAGACATGACATCAACAAGCTTTACGAAGAGGAGGAGGCTATAGGATGCTACAGTACTAGTGCTACCTGAACATGCTACAGATCAAGACTACGACGATGGGGGACGGTTTCACATAAGCACAAAGAAGGAACCAGCTTTGCTGAGGAGCTCTACCCATCCCAGCCGCCAGCTGTGTTCAAAACTAACATCTGTTTGGTTTTTTTAAACAAATAATGTTTTCTTAGTTTATTGGGTAAATTTTGCCCTAAGAAATGTTCTGTACCATTTTTTAAAACGACAAAATGTACCGTCTTTGCAGCTTGATGGATCAAGTACTTAGTAAAGCTGGCTTATTGTGTGCAGAGGAAAGCACCCCATCTGTAGTCAGTTCCTGTCATACAACAAACACACACACACACACGCCCACACAAACACATTCACTCGCACAAGCGCACAAACCCTGAAGTTAGGAACGATTTCCATCGTCACACAGCAAAATCGTTTTGATTATCATTGAGTGAGAGCTGGGATTGCATACTGTACCATACATCTCCGAGGAGAGGCACCCTTCATCAATATCAGCTCATTCATCACGTCACACACACAAGCGTACACACACACACACACACACACACACACACTGGAATAAATGTTTAACTGTCAAAGAAAACATACAATCACATGCTTTATAACGGAATGTAGAGAAAGCTCATACCAGACCTTCGATTTTATCCGGGACCGAGCCGAGCGCACAGACTCTGTTATGACGTGTCTCCTTGGCTTGAACCGCGAAAAGATTTTCATAAGTTCTGGTGGGGTAAATCAAAACCCTTCCAACGGCCACAAAGTCATCAAGTTTCATAACAAAGTTCTACAGTGCTTTAACATAACTGTGAAGTTATGGTCCGCCTGTCCCTTCAGAAAAGACTAAAATAGTTTTGTTTTTTTATTATTTAAAATATATTCCCCCACATTACGTGGAAGCTCTGGACCTAGTCTATCAGACCCCTGGCAACACACACCATGAAACACCTGGCTCTACCCCCCACACATCTGGGCTGAGCGTCCACATCTTTCACAAGACATTTCATTAACGCTCTAATAGAGAATGCATGAGACCGGACCTTCAAAGCAGGATGCGTTCAAAGTCTATTGTGTTAAAATCTTCTGTAACCTCCCTGGGTTTTTCGATCTGCCGCTCCCCACTCACACCGAGAGAAAAACCTGCCTCTTTCCCCCCTGTAGCACAGCTGGAAACTGGTTAATTTCTCTAGTATCACCATAAAGTTAACAGAGCGTTTGACAGTATGTAAAATGAGCTGTTAGCATGCTCGTGTGATGGCGCTATATCTCAGAGCGAGGGAGGAGAAGCCCCTCCCTCTTCTACTTGTTAACACCCTGACTGAGGGACCCTAGGGACACACAAGTGTACGTTTTGGACATCTAGGCAGGTTAGGATTTAACCACAAGAATTTGGCAGCTATCTATTTGGCTACTAAATTCACAGAAAAGTGCAACAAAAAAAAAAATCACTTGCTGTGTTTCTAACCTGCTTTAGCTCCTTATAGTCAACTGTTCTATGTTTTTAAAAAAAAATAATTTAATCATTAATAACAAAAAATAAATCAAATATAACTCCGAAAGCTTAATCTGATCAAAGTGCAGCACCCCAGCGTCAGAGGAAGGAGTGGAAGTGTTTGAATAGGTTCAGATAGCAGGTCCTAGATCAGGGACTGGTGGGGTTTATCTCTGAGAGTAAGCCACTTGCACACACTGCGATAGATGCACTCACAAACACGATTGCTCACACACACACACACACACACACATACACACATACACACACACACACACACACATACACACATACAGAGTCTAGCTTAGATGAGTCTGGCCTCTCCCTCCATGTCTGGCGGTAGATCACACACTCCTGTGAAGTGCATCTCCTTTCCTTTGCTCCCCTGTCCCGACCCGGCCCTGGCCCCGAGGCTGGGAGAGGGCTGCTGGGCCTGAGGGTCCGGCGACGTCCCGCCGGGGGCCCCACCTGCCCGCCTCTCTTTCAGGAAGACCTCTAGTCGGCGCAGCATCTGCTTCGGGTTCTTTTTGGCAAACAGCTCCACTTCTGCAGGGTTAAACAGACAGACACTGTGGGACTCGTGCCGGGAGGACAATCTGTGTTTAACTGAGTTCCTGCAAACTGAGTATTGACCTATTGACTGATACATTTAGAAGATTACATGAAAACATTGATACCACAACTTGCATCTATGAGCATTCAATACCAAGCAAAAGCCAGCTGCCAGTTTTTTCCCCCCAATATTTAGTCTGAGCTTCATTTTAGGAAGAAGAGTTTCTGTATGTCAATGGGACCCTAAGGGCTGAATTAAGGACACAAAATAAAATGATTGCAGGCGTAATTAAAGGGTTTGATTTGTCTCAGCACTAATACAATAAAAAGCATGATTTCAAAGTGTTAAGTTATAGTACAAACGATATACCATTTTCTTTACCTTTTAGTACAAAGCCAGAGTCTACGATGGTCTTCTGTTGGGTCTTCCACAGTTGGTACAGGTGCAGATACGTGGCAACGTAGAAGTCATTGAGCACACCGACCACCTGCTGACGACGATTGCACTCCCTGATAGACCAAAGAGAGAGAGCATTGGGGAAGAGGTCGTGTGTGACAAAAATATTGCAAGCCAAAACTCAAGAATGAAGAGAAACCAAAGTGAGGAGCAGTGACTCACTTTGACAAAGCTTCCTCTCTGAGTACTTGCAGAGCGATGCGGGTCATGTTGATTGACATCACACTGAATGGAAAGTTCTAAAAGCGAGGAAATACACAAGGAATTTTGAGTCCACACAGAGTACTTTCAGAGGTTACAAGAAAAAACAAGATCGTCTTGAAGCTGACTTTATTAATCCCTGAGGGGAAATTCTCCTTTTGCTCTAGATCTCTCTGCAGGGAGGTCAAAGGTCAGGGTCAGCTTACAGCAGCTCGCCGGCAGTGGGAGGTGTTTCAGTGTCTCTGGAGGATTAGTGAAATATGATTCCCAAATCAAATACTTGCATGCACACATGAGCTGCCTCTGGTACGAGCTCATTGCCCAGTGGACGTGTGTCTGAGCTGCTGATACCTGTGTGGGGTGTTGTGATAACTTGTAGATGTCTCTAGCCAACGGTAGAGTCTCTGGGTCCATCACAAAGTACAGCGTATGCATCAGACCCAGGAAACCAGTGCCACGCAGGTCAGTGGCTGGGTCTGTACCTGCAGAAACACAGAAAAACATGCCGTTTACTTGTTTAGAGTGGAAATACTTCATATTGCTAGACTTTCACTAATGCACTTTACATTTCTTGACAATGAAAAGCTATAACATTGTGAAATCAAAGAGCAGTTCACTACAGTGTAACATTGCAGCTGAATGATGAGCGCTGCTGCTCAAATTTCACACAATCATTAATCTCCTCTGTTCTCAAGTTTCACTCCTCCAAACACAGGGAAGCGAAGGATTGACAGATGAAGCGAAAGTAACTGATATTTGGAAATGAGAATACATTTCAAGAAAGCCCCAGCAAACCCGCCGCCCAATTGAATATGAGTATCCACAGACCTGAACCTATATGTGCAGTATGGTGTGTGCAGGAGTCTTACCCTGAAAGCCGATGTTTTCCCAGTGCGCCCCGAAGCGAGGACAGTCCAGCCTGCTGCCTATCAGCCTCTTATAAATGGTCTGGAGGACCCGCATGTGGACGGTTTGGCTGTTGTCCACATGGCCTGTAGAAAAACACACAGATATATAGGAGTCAAAATCTATGTTATTTTTAAACCAAAAACTATTACTTGATATGCTTGTTGAAACGATGTTGAGTCGGCACTGACATCATATAGCAAACGGTGACTGTATTAACATGGAATCGTTTTTAAAGAAAAGAGACATGAATAAAATGTAGCACAAAAAATCTGTCTTTATTTTCATTGTAGAGAAAATATACTTAATACAAGTCTCTGAGTAACTGATTTACTTAACTTATTGTTAACAATGATAACAACAGGACATGACAGAAAGTCAGGGGGGATCTTTGGTTAGACTCACACACTCAATTCAATGTATTTCTGACAAAATTAACAACACTCATGAGTTTGAGACACAGCTAGCAGATAACACTGGCAAACACACACACTCACACTGTGCGATGGCAAACACCAGGTCCCTCTCCTCCAGCAGCTCCCTGTGCAGCCGTGGAGGTCCGAACAGGAAGTGTGTGATCGCGGCCAGACCGGTCCTGCGAATGGTGGGCTGGATGTTCTTCTACCGAGAGGTAAAGGGGTGTGGGGAGGTTTTAGAGCTATCAATAGAAATAATCCACTGATACATACAAATAAAGTATATGATTCCTATTGAAATAAATGATCAGAATGACCAGTACCATTATTTGTATCTACTTTGTTGCTGTAAGCACAGTATGTGTATCCCTCTTTTATACAAAAACACTTTTTAGTTTACCCCACACACGGCTGACATAGGTCTTTATTTGATTTCTAATGTGCGTTTCTTTGCTATGTTATCTTGGTGTTGCTTGTGTCTGCTGTTAATATAAACTTTCACAATGAAATGCTTCCAGCCGTTCCCTTTCCATCCCTGCAAAGCTTTTATTGTGAAGAGTGTATGCATATAGCAAAACAATGTTCAACTGGTAGATGTAATGCTGTGGAAATGTGCATTATGCAGAATTTCTGTTCCAACAGACTGATCCCCCAGCAAATATTGAGCGTTGGCTGTTATTGAGATATCAGCTTATATTTGAGAGTTTGGTTATGCAGCGTTTCATACCAGCAAATCCCCGAGGTCTGTGGTCTGGAAGTACTGCAAGGCTTCATTAAAGGAGATGATCGGGGTTGGGTTCGAGTCCTCAGTGAGAGCTGGGGGATGTTACATACAAATAAATCTTTATAACAGCAACTTACAGACTAAAGAATTCATCAATCTGAATGCAAACGGGGGAAACAAGGAGATGCTTCTGACCTGGTTGGACGTTCTCCAGAGCCTCCCACTCCTCTCTGGCCTTTTCCAACTCCACATTTTCCTCTGTAGAGAAGATTTTAAGTTACATGGTATATATTTGCTTTGCTGACGCGTTCATCCAAAGCGCCCTACAATCAGTGCATTCAACCATGGAGAAGCAAACCTAAAAAGAAATAATCCTGCAGGTACATTATCAGTAAGCGCTACTGCATTGGCTTCAAATAATGAAAACTTTTGTAAGTGCTACGTGCAGAAGAGAAACATCTTTATTTATTTTTTGGACCAAGGCGCAGTGGAAACAGATTTCACCAGTGCCGATATCAATGGGGAGCTCGTTCGATCGTTTTGGAGCCAGGATAGCAAACATGCATGGTTTTGGGAAGGCGTCTTATTTGCGATGGGTTGATGCAGAGAACAGTGCACGTGCTTGAGTCTATGATTTATCCATGTCCAGCATGTAGGGAGGGCCTGATCCATTCACTTCTTTAAAAAACAAGGTAAGAAAACAAACTAATAAACCCAATTGTGACACAAACGCTCACACACTAACGTGACTAGAAGCACTGATGAGGGGAGATGAGTAATGTGCTGTGGTGCATCGGCTGACACCCCTCCAGTTCATCCTCAGTCACAAATCCCTCCTGTCTAACACGCCTGCATCACTAAGAGGGCCACTGAGACCCTCTGCTTCCCCGAAGCAGGTAACCTGCACCCCTTGGGAAAGGCTCTACCTGGCTGGTATCTAGGATACACTTCTCACATTCCTGTGGGAAGAGGATGTGAGACAATAGAGAGGTTGTGTGAGAGTATGTGTGTGTTACCTGCAGGCTGAGGCTGGTCCCCCCCGGCTGCCAGAGTCTGAAGAAGACCATTCTGCTTCAGTGCTGAAATCTGGACAATTACCAAGGAATGGATTACATTACATCTAAAAGGAGGAGGGAGATGTTGGCTACAGTCAGATACTTAGGATGAAATTGAATTACCGGCAGGGATCTGAGTGGTGCGCTGCCGTTGGTCTGCTCTTTGACATTATGACTAATTATCAGTCCGTTCATGACCTGAGAAGAAAGTTTGAATTGTTAATTCCTAGATAAAATACTTGCAAGGAAAAACTAATTAGAATAAATCAAGGAGGTGATTTTTACTCACAGGCTTATGGTTGGAGTGTCCATTGGTGATTTCCTCTAATGGTTTAAATTCATGGGACAAACCATTCAGGCCCTAAGACAAGAACAGCAACACAGAGCAGATGCTTCAGACATGCCCACAATGTAAAGCCTGTGCAGCGCTCACAGAAGACAGGCAATTCATTATCATGACATGCTTCTTTATTTCCTCTTTTATCTGGCATCCCTGAAATGTAAAACTAACTTGTGAAAAATATTCATTAAAACAAGAAAATGGTTGCTAAGACTTCAGTGCTTCTGTTTTATAAGGATGCTTCCTCTGCTGGTAGTAAAGGTAAAGGTGGTAGGTAGATTAGTTCATTTCAAAAAGGTGCACTCCCTTTAGGGAAAGCCTTCCCTGCCCTGTTACGTTGCATCCAGCCAAGCAGGAGACATACTTATACAACTGTTTACATAGGAAGCAATACTCAAGGAGAGAGGCCACGGAGCAATAAGTAATGTTACGGCTAGGAAATCAAGCTCGGGATGAGAGAAATGCCCTCTCAGCTGTTGCCAAAGCAACATGCCAAGCAAGTCGGTCCAGAGATTAGGGCTAACGCCGAGGGTGAACTGTTAACCTTAGGTCTTAAGTTAAACACATGTGACAGAACTGCTTAAACTAATTAGCTCTTAATTGTTTATAATACAACACTGTGGAGCAGGAAAGGAACATTTATCCGTGAGTAGGGCTGCAACAAACAATTGTTTTTTATAACTGATGTTTTGTTTTATCTAGAAAATGTCAGAAAATAGTAAAAATATCCATCTCAGTTTCTTTAAGACTGATGTGATGTCTTGCTTGTTATGTCAGTCGGACTCCCACAGATATTTAGTAAGGTACAATCTAAATATTTAAGAGACAAAAAAAGCAGCTATTCAGCTTTTTTTGCATGAAATATTACTTGAAAGATTATTATAAAAGTTGGAGTCAATCCGTCAATCATCTTATTGGGTAGTCACGCTGCATCTCTGTACCTGAAGTTGGCTACCTCACTATGGCAGCAGCGATAAAGCGCCTACTTTGATCCTGTTGACCAACACAGCAGGTGTTGCCTTCAGCCTTAATGGTGTTAGCTTGCTGTCAACACAAACACTGGAATAAGATTAAACGATCACAAACTCTAAGACTAAAAGGTAAAACAACAGTACCTCAGTGTGGGGTGTGACATCAATGTCTTCTTCCATTGCATATGAGTGTGTTGGCTGGCGAGCGTGTTCCTGATCCCGGCCTCTAAAGGCTGCTGTAGTCGTGGACGACGATGGGCTGAGGAGCCGATGCAAGGACCACCATGGTTTCTGTAGTGTACATTAGTAGTGACAGCAAGTATTTATGCACTTCTCCTTCATACACACAGAACTCAACGTCCACAGTCCCCCTAGTGTGATTTCCACAAACTGTCACTGGCAGAAGAAATCCATAATGTGCACATCTGTGTATCCGCGATGATTGTGTGGTTTTTGATGGCAGCTTTGTTTTATTAGCTACTCTAAAGTGTAACCTTGAGTGCGTACGCTGATAGGAATGTGCAGGTATCAGTCTACAAGAGCTGACGGGAGGAAATTGCAATCCATCAATGCACAAGTTTCCTGGAAACCTGCCTCCTTCCTCTCCTCCGCAGATCTTCTTGGCCACTGGGTCCACTCCTCAGCTCCATCACACGTACACAGAAGGTGGAGGATGACATTGCTTTTCAGGACTGGGCTCTCCCCGTCCAGGAGTCTTCATTACTTTGGCACTCAAGAGACAAATCCAGTGCACACATAGAGGTACCAGTAAGGTTTAATTTACTTGGCTGGGTTTATTGTGTCTTTAGCCTCACATGAAACATCAGCACGCGTCCAACGTAAGATGAGAAGGTTTCCAGTGAGATGGGGGTCATGGATAAGAGTTATTGAATGTTCAGAGTCCAGAGCAGGGGCTGTCATATGTACACAATATCTGAAAACTAAAACAAAAAGAATCATTAAACTGCACACATAATTCAATATTATTAACATGATTGTTCATATAACTTAAGAAAAATGTGAAACAAATAGGTTTAATCATGCCAAAAATAATTCTATCAAATTAGAACTTTTAGCTATATTAACAAAAAGTGTTGTTTTTATTGTCTTCCTATGTCATTTTTCACAGAGCAACCCACATTTAGTGGCCCTCAAAAAGTACATTTACTCGTTTACTATACTTGAGATAATTGTACTTTACTTAATGCAATTTTTTCTACACTACAATAAAGAAATTCAGTTTTTATTTGACCACCTTTATTTGAAAGCTTTACAAGTTTAGATTGTACATACATAACATATAAAGAGCGTATGTAATTTAATGCTGTTATGTATTAAAATATCATTAGCACGTTAAATCGTCAAAAAAATTATCTCAAACAATAAACAGCTGATTTGATGTTATCAATAATTGAATTATTCAACTGTAAAAGACACATTTGTGTTTTCCATTACGTACTTTAATTTTTGACATTTAAGTGTGTCAAAATGTGTGCAATGCAGTACAATAAAACGAATACATTGTACTACTATAAAACATTACATGGAAATAACTATGTACAGTTGATTTGTAATGGAGTATTTTTACAGTACAGAAATATTACTTTTACTCGAGAGGATCTGAGGACTTCCTCCATTACTGTCTGAATCACAGCAAGATTTTTTTGTATGCCTAAAATGTGTTATAGTTTACTGTCAAAGTCCAGCACTGCAGAGTCCATGCTCAGAGCCAGGACATACATCTGAAAATGTTGGAAACAGTCCAACTTTATCCGATGACAGTTGAACACATCGCCGCTTTGACAGCTACAGTAGCAACCTCGGCTAGCTTACATTATGATAGCAACCGACAAGCTAGCAATATGTCAGCTACAGTAGCAACCCCGCAGGCACAAAGACGCAGCTACAGCTTCTCCTCACACAGACAAATCACTGCTTGCAAAACCTCCATGCAAACCAGCACTTAGAAAACACATTAGAAAAAACAACTCATGTTAAGTGTCATGAATATCAAGTGCACTGAAGTAGCTGAGACGTAGCTAACAGAAGAAAAGCCAGCTGTCAGGCTAACTAACGGGCTAGCTGTAGCTCTATTGAACTGTAACGGGGATGGAGTCCCAAATCCGACAGCACCATACGAATTAAACTGCTTTTGTCTCCAAGGCAGATTTAAAAAACGCTACAAAACACTGCGTGGTATGGCATATCCGAAAATATTACAAGATATTATAAAGGGTTTTAAAAGTACCTCAGTTTCTGACTGTTTCTCCCTCCAATCTCAGCTTCCCTTCCCCCGTCCAGTGGCCACGGTAATTTCAAATGCATCATGGGAATTGTGGTTCCCTGTCGGACTGTAACTTCATTACGTCATTGCTCTCTCTCTCTCTCTCTCTCTCTCTCTCTCTCTCTCTCTCTCTCTCTCTCTCTCTCTCTCTCTCTCTCTCTCTCTCTCTCTCTCTCTCTCTCTCTCACTTTCACAGATATTGAAGACAGGAGAGTTGTGTGACTTCCTTCCACACCTCCCTTCAGCACAGATTCTCTTCTTGTTAAAATACAGTAAAGAGAAAAGTATGAATGTATTCATCATAAAATGGTTTATAGTACACATTTTTTTAAAACCCATTTCTCCAGAAAGCTTATAAAGTGCAATTACTTGTTCCTCAAAAGCAGCAATGTAAAGTAACTCAGTAGATTTAACCAAGTACTGTTTTCAAGTAACATTTTGAGGGATTTGTACTTTACTTGAATATTTACACATTTTACTACTTTGTGCTTCTACCCCACTAATTCAGAGGTATAAAGTATAAAGTAATGAGTACTTTTACTTTTATTAATTTAAGTATATTTTGATGTTAATACTTTTTGTAGTTTTACTTGAGTAACCTTTTGATAGCAGGACTTTTACTTGTAACAGACAGAGTATTACACTCTGGTACTTCAACAATTCACTCGTGAAAAAAGGGACAAAAAAGACAAAGATAACACAACGTGACAACACTCCTCGGACCACGTGGGATTCCTTAAAAGTAGCAGTATTTGATCGTGACATCGATACAAAACATACCTGTTTATTTATCGGAACNTAGGGGGTCACATCGACTCTGTTTACTGCGTTACATGAATGGAGGAAGTCTAATGTGGCACGGTGGCTCAAATGAAAGAAAACAAAACAAAAAGGAAGCAAGGACAAACCAGCACTCTACCCCTCGTGGCTCCACTGGACGTAGGCACCGTTTTTACTGTTACCTTCTTAGAAGACAAGGTTGAGCTCATAACACGTCAAGCCTATCCCACATCTCTCCGAAACATACGCTGCGCCACCACTGTGTGTCTACTGAGGTAGGCCTGATTTGAGATATTAAGTCAATATAATGAGATAACTAAGTCAATATAATGAGATATTAAGTCAATATAATGAGATAACTAAGTCAATATAATGAGATATTAAGTCAATAATGAGATAACTAAGTCAATATAATGAGATATTAAGTCAATATAATGAGATATTAAGTCAATATAATGAGATAGCTAAGTCAATATAATGAGATAGTAAGTCAATATAATGAGATAACTAAGTCATTATAATGACTTACAGGATTTTTTTATTTTTTTTTCCTGTGGCGCAAACAGGCTTCCATAATTTTCT